AAAGACAAGGAAGAATGCCCTTCCACATCTATATCAGAAATCAGTCTTTGGCCCCTTTTTCTCTGTGTCTCAGCACCAGGATCTGGAGGAAAACAAATTATTTAAAGCAGGAAAATTTTCTAACTCGGCTGTCCCCCAGCATGAAGGGCATGTGACAGGACAGCAAGCACAGCACCCGGTGCCAGGCCTGGGTGGGGCTTAGCTGCCCTGGGAAGTGACAATAGCCCCAGGTCAACAACCCTGGCCAGGGCTCTGTGCCCCCTTCCTTTTGAGAAGCTCAGCTCCCTCCTCGGCAGGGGCATTTCCAGCTCAGGCCCGTTCAGCCCGTGCCAAGATGTTCAGAAGCTGGTCACACATCCACGATGAAGGAGTCGCTGCCAGGACGTGGGTCACTCTCCCACCACCCTGCAGTCCCGGCAGAGGGTGCGTGGCAGCGGGGGATGTCAGTGCTCGGAGCAGCACAGTCTGGGTGGCCCTGGCTGTCTCGTCTCTGCTGGCCAGGGGATGCTGAGGCACAGCACGCCCAGAGCTCCGCTCCTCCAGTGGCGCAGCTGCAGGGACACGGCCCAGCCCCGTTCTGCTGCCCACGGCCGCGCACCGCCTGCAGGTCCCACGGGACATCTTCTCTGCAGTGCACACAGCTCTTCTTGTCACGCCATACTTCAGCCTGTCTTCCTGCCCCAGGTCCCTGAGCACGAATGGAAGGCTGTGCCTGGTGCTGGGAGGAAGGAGGGGGTGTGCTGGGCTGTTCAGAGCGCAGAGCCGGGGCTGAGCGCCCCAGGCCTGAGGCTTCACAAAGGGCCACGGTGCAGGCACAACCCGGCCTCTTCCCCTTGCTTCATCTCTCCGCCAGGAGCCTTCTGCCATCTCCCCCTGCTCCCATGCTGGATTCTGCAGGCAGCAGTGGAAGGGACCTTGCCATCCAGTGCCACAGCAGCTCCGTGCTCCCACGTGGGCTCTCCCCTGCGCCCCAGGTCCCGTCCTCCCTCCTGCCCACCCCTCAAGTGCCCCACACACAGGTTCACGCCACTTCCCTCTCAGAACACCTGCTCAAACTCTGCCCAGGTCTTGTTATGCTTGATTTTACCCAGAAAGGTAGAGGGTTGGCTCCATGCCCCTGCCACAGGAGAGACTTGCAGCAGGTTTCCACGCTGATATCTGTGCATGAAAGGTTAGGAAAAAAGGGAGTGGGTTATTAGGGGAAAAAGAGGGGTCCAAATCCCAGGGAGCAGAGGGAGGAACTCAGAGGACTGCTCATGTATGAGCACCCACTAGGCTCCCAGGCTAAAGGCATGGCAAGAATGACAGATGCCCCTGCAGAACTGCATGCACAGGCTGGCCCTCAGTAGGAAACTGTGGATTCATTTCTCTCCTTTCTTGTGCACAGCAAAGAATCTCAACCCTTCTCCAAGCTACAGTTCTGCACCCTCATTTCTCCAGCCCTGGCTGTTGTCTCCCCCTGGAGCTCCAGAACACTAATTCAGGGCCAGCAGGTGCCAAGAGCCTGGAATTTGCATTCAGGCTTTTCACTGAAATGGGCTCACAAAGGCCCTCAGCTTTTTGCAGCCTGGGCTGAACCCAGGGGCCATTGCAAGGTGTCTCAAGATTCTTGCTGTAGATCTGCCTTGTTTTTGAGGGTAGTACCACTCCTAAAATTCACCCTAAAAATACCCCTTAAGTCCCCACACTGGTCAAACTTTCTGTTTACATCTCCCACAGAGATTGCCAAGGTTCTGCTGTCTATTCAGTAGCCACAGATGCATCAGCTGGGGAGCCTATGACAAATCAAGTTGTTCTCATTTCTAACAACTGCAAACAAATAAGGCAATCTTAAAAACAAGAGACCTTTATCACAGCAGCAGCAATCCTCACCTTGGATGAATCATGGCTAAGCAAGTAATGTTTTCACCTTTCCATGCCAAGCCTGCTTTTTCATGTCAGCTGCTGCAGCACAAACTGCTCTAGGCTTATGTTACAGCTCAAGGGACCCAGTGCCTCAGGTAGAATATGTCTATTTAGAACGAAAGTTATATCCAGTGTCTTTTGGAGTCCATGAATGGACATATAATCACCTCAGCTGCAGTAGGGGAAAAACAGACATGAAAATACTGCTGGTAAATGGAAAATAGAAGAGCTGTCAGTCTGCACCTGGAAAGAGTTTACAGAGCCAGACAGAGAATTATATACCACGGTAAAAAGATTAAGGAGTAGATAAAAGATAGTCATAGCACCAAGAGAGAATGAAGAAGGGAAAGGACAGGTCACCTTTGCAGATGAAGAAGAAACATGTTGCATCTGTCACTGCAAGGAGGAGCTAGAAGGGGCACTGCAGAGCTCCGATGCATGATGCCCAGGGGATGAGGGAACAGATTCTCCCAAAACCTGAGATGCTGCTTCAAAAAAGAACCGTTAAAAGAAAATCACATCGCATGCCCAGGAAGTTTCTCTTCTGCAGAGAGATGTTTGCTAGTCAAAAAAACCCAAAGTGTTTTCTTTAAACACATCTATACTTTCCTGCCTACTTGTGGCATATGAGTGAGTGGATTTAGACAGGGGCAGCTTAAGATAAAAGGTGAAGAGGTCCAGTCCAGTGGCTCAAATTTGAGAATTGCTCAAACAAATGACACAGGAAAAGCAAGAGACTCCTTGCTTTAGGAGCGCCTGCCCGTTCCTTCCAGCTCCTAAAGGCATCAAGGTATAGAGAAAATACAAGCTGAAGCTCTGAATTTCCACATCACCTAGGAGACCGTGCTTGAGACAGGAAATCCTCACAACAATGCAGAAAAATAGCCAGGGGTGGGAGGTGGGGGGGAGGA